TTTGTGCCCCTCGTTCTACCGATAGTAGAAACCAAACTAGTGGTGAATAGGTCTTTATTTAAATAGTGAAAGTGGACAATTGGATTACGAGATTATCTTTATCGGACACATAAAGTTTTGCAACATTCAATACATAATAATAGGAAATATGATACTTATACAAAATAAAGAAGTGAACGAATACTTGACCTATGATGTTCTGACATTACTGAGATGTTTGCGGCCAACTATTAACCAATGAACCTAAGTTGTTACATCAGCTTCCTCCTACAATCGACTTCCATAAGAATGTCATTTCACTCAACTAACCGACCTAAAGCATATCAATCTAGCTTCCGCATCCTAAAAAAGAATAACCAACTTGTTCATTGTTTGGCTCTCAGTCAATGACGATCAACGCCTAGTCAGTATTCGGAGGTACTCCATAGATGTCATATACTTTACTGGTTTGTTATCTTGTCTTGTAGCATTTAACTTTAACCACAAATTATCATACATGAATTGTGGAACGTATTCTCTCTATGAAGTCCAGGACTTGTAAGAGAATGGAGGTTAGGAAAATTAAAATGCAATATCTATGGCAGTGCCAAAAGCGAGCTACCCAACTCCATATCAGTGAGGTGTGATTTTCCCATACTCTGTCTGTCTACTTGGTATCTCTTAAGTCGTCCTAAATTCAAAGGTCAAGAATATTCTACTTTCGAAGGAAAAAAATAATTAAAGCTATTCAAAATTGAAGAACTGCTCCACTAATTGCACAACATGATCAGATGCAAAAGAAAATGTGCAGTTATGGAAGACAAGTTTTTGACTCCACATACGTGTTTGGCTTCCAGAACGGATTGATAAAGTCGAAAGAAACAGACACGGTGTAGACATCTTAGGCACAAAAACTTAACTCAATGGAAATTTCCTTCTTTAAGAATAAATATATGTGCGAGCCTACCACAAATTCGATTTATCATCAAATTCGATCAAATATATGAACATGAGACTGGGATGACCACATTTTATAAATGGTTCGTAGCTGTCCGCTGATCTGGAAAAATTAGAACATGAGATTGAGATGGAGAAATAATAGTAAAAATACCAAATATCCAAGGATCGAATAAGCTTCTTAGGGTCAGCAACACAATCGGAGTCGTATAAATGAACCATTTGATTGGGTCGATAGTGATATGCACGTGATATTGAGACTATGGTGGAGTTTTGTTCTCTGAGCTGGATGGTTTGGTCGTGGAGCTTTCATCGTTCTTCTAAACGACATCATCAGCACAAACTTCAGATAGAAGTGAAGTGTTTGAATTTCTCCATATGTGTCTCAAAGCTTGTTCTGTGCACCTCGACGTTGATTGGTTCTTCTTGACCCTAAATTTGTCGTTGTTTACTTCGTTGTTTTGGTTGCGTCTCCCATTGTTTTGATTTTTGTTCTTATGTTTGTGCATGATTTTTCTGATTGGTTGATAAATTGGATTGATTTCAATATGCTTGTTGATTGCTGATTGACCTGAGTGCCAGGTTTCTAAAAATTCTCTGGTGGTTTTGAAGTTTCCTCTGTCTAAGATTTCCACATTTTTCCAATCGAATGAGTGTCCGCAGTTGTCCACGTGTATTGATATAAGTGAGGAAATATCATGTCGTTTGACTGTTAATTGATGTTCATGTAGGCGAAGGTGAAGGGGGCGTCCGCTTTGTCCCATGTAGTGTTTTTCGCAGTTGGCACAATTTATTTTTTAGATGATGTTTGATTTGTTTTCCTTTGTTATTTCATCTTTTGGTTTGCATAAGATTGATTGTAGTGATTTTGTCGGTTTGTGTGCCACACCTATTCCGAAGGTTTTCAGAAGTCTCGTCGCGGTTTCTGATACTCCTTGTATATATGGTAGGGTGATCCTTTTTCTGATTTTTGTGCTTGACTTGAGTTCTAATGCTGCGTGCGGTTAATATTTTTTTGATGAAGTTGATGGGGTAGCCGTTCTTCTGAAATACATCCTTTAGGTATTTCTCTTCATTTCTTCGTGCTGCCAGTGTGCTGCAGTGTGTCCTCGCCCTCTTGAACAAATTGTGTACGCAGTTGATTTTGTACGCTCTGGGGTTGTTGCTATTGTAGTTGAGAATTCGATCCGTATGGGTCGGTTTCCTATATACTTGAGTTTCCAGTTTTCCTGTGTCGGTTCTAGTGATCAATATATCCAAGAATGCTAGTTGGTTGTTTGACTCCTGTTCCATGGTGAACTTGATGTCATCGAAGACGTTGTTGATCAGGTTGTAAGTGTTTTCTAGTTCATTCTTTTTGACGATGTAAAAGGTGTCATCTACATAGCGAATCCAAATTTTTTGCTTGATCACTGGTAATATGGCGGCTTCTAGTCTTTGTATCACTGCTTCTGCGATCAGTCCTGATATTGTTGATCCCATTGGTGTCCCTTTCGTTTGTTCGTAGATTTTGTTGTTGGATTGAAAGTATGTTTTTAGGCATAAATCGATGAGTTCTAGTAGACTTTGAATTTGAAGCTTCGTGTATTTAGTGAGGTTTGTGTCGTTGTTGAGCAGCAGGGATATAGTTTCTTTTCGTTAACCTAGTGCACAACGTTTATATGCATGTAACAATAACAATCAGAACCACCAACAAGTATTGAGCGACTGATTGATCTAAAATGCTTCATCCAAGAACCATTCGTCCATAGTAGTTTGTCTTACAAAACCAGTAAATATGTCTTACACAACAAGTGGGTGTGTGAGTGATGTTTTAAAGATTATATATATATATGTATATATACATATATATATATATGAATAATCCAATTGAGTGTAAGATGCTGCATGTTATAAATTATTGAAAGCCCTATGGATCATTTAGTGAAGCAGCGAAACTCTCCTACATTGATTTTGGAATTAGTCGTTATTGTAAAGGTTGATTGCATGTATTTATAATAATTATTCATAGGGATTTTGTTACATGTTACCATCCAACTTTCGCATTGTCTTCTATTAAGAAAAGAATATAAAAAGTGATTGATTACTGCTCTTACCACTCACTTTAGTCGAAGTATCTTTATTCCTTTATGAGTTACTCGTGCCAGTATGGTGTTTTCCACATATATTTATCCGTGTATCGTTTAGGGATAAATCGCTTATGTACTTAGTGTGGTAAATAAAAAACACTCTCCCGGCATTTCATATTCTGGGTTTCGAATATTTTCAGGCAAATAAATTGTCTCTCTAGGGAAATTAGCCTGCTGAAATACTCAGTTAACGGAACATATATTGGAGTCAAATAGAAAGGAATTAATCCCTAGATACACCAGATTACTCCTTTCGATGATGACATTCGTAATACTGTTGACTTAACAATTTTTTCTACTCTCAGAATAAAACCTTCAATTCGTTTGTTATCAAACCATCTGGGGCCTACTAAATGTTGACCATGTAATATCCTCTATGATTTCATGATATATGATTAGAGTTGCAACATGACGTGTAGAAAAAGATTAAAAGTTGAAAAATACATAGTCAAAATTACACGACTACCATGATGGACATAATGATTGTGATTAATCTAAAAAAAACATAAGACTGTACTTCTTATATCCCATGGAATTCATTCAATGAATTGCTGAGCTCATCCCAGAAATAAAGGGAAACATTATTAGTATTGTCTGTGACGTACGTTGTTATTCTTGCTCATCGACAGACAGGCTAAATATGAACAAATACTAAGATCGTCAATTTACTCAATTACTTTGTTTTGATTTCAACCGGGCAAGTGCGAGTATCTAACCCACCTAGACAGCTATTCTTCAGTCTAAACCTTAATTTGGATCTAAAGTTCCCTGAGACAAACAGGCTACACTAGAGGATAAAACTTACCGAAGCCTGTTAAACCTCGTAGAGCGTGGGTCGCTCACCAGAAGTCCCCAAAGAACTCTGTCCTGGGCAATCGTTGGCAAATGTTCCTAGTCTTCTTGATGTTTGCCTCCGATTCACAGCGCGATTTTTTGCATGGTCTTCTTCCCTCCAACTGCGGCTTTTGTGGGGTTCCGCTAGTCCTAAGCCCGTGTAAAAGAGGAGGGTTTGGCATGAGATCGTCAACTTTATCCCGTAAAATACAACCTTGCTAAAAATGACGTTAGCCAAAAAAACCTATCGTTATTACTGAAGACTGACTACAAGTTACACATAATCACAAATAACCACCAAACTAGCTGAAACTACCGTAGTTGATTGGCTAGACTAACATAAGTTGGACATAGCCAAATACCTGGAACCGTACTGAAACAATAATAAACGAGCAAAAAAATCAATTGGTTTATACGAGCATATTGCTACGATATTTGTGGGAATAGTTAAAACAGACCTGTTTTGTAATCAGCTTCTGTTGTTGCTTGCATTTTTCACCAATTCTCACAAACTATACAATTACCATCAATAATTGCAGAATTGTTGCTTAGAAAATAGCGAATTGACCTTTGACCTTCCATTCCGGTTTGTGAACAAATATAACATGACACACAGAGTATCGCTCACAAATACACTGCTACACTCAACGGCTATTCTGGTTTTGAGACAGATCAACCTATTCATTCTTCTCAATCCACATTTTAACCTTGTCACTTACTGGCATATTAACCCCGACTGATTTTATATGATCGTATGTGTGCTGATTGCTTGTCCTACTCACTACAACTTATTTTTGGTCCGACCATGAAAATTGAGTGACGTTTGATCAGATTGAGTTGGTTCACTAGCCTTCGTCGATCCGCTTCGCGTTTCTGCTCCCTATCATGAGCCTATGTCAAGACAAAGGAATGCTTAAAATAAATTACTCCAACATCATCCACATTTGACTTCTTATTACCACCGTCAAACAAACGAGGTTAGCCTACATAATGCACGGAGATAATCGAAAGATTTATATCTTAAGCATATTTATACATTCATCCATGGAGGAGTACGAACAACTGGCTCACTACATATTGATATTGGATATTGGATTAAGTATTAAGAGAGCGGAAGGATTGGAATTCGTTAGGCGTTTTCACTGTGATCGTCAAGATCTTCGAGCTCATGACCATCATGTTTAACCAAATAGTATTTAATTCGTTTGAACAACAGTGATCTGTATTTTGATACAACTGTATTCATATATTCAAAAGACTCCATTATCTTTGTCCTGTTAACGAAAACGGACTTCGATTTATACGATCGTAAACATAGGGATAATTGACTTTAAGTACAAACGTTAGTATGATCCGTTTGTTCTCAGCAATCCTCAATATTGGGATAAAATAATAGAAGCAAATGTGATGAAGTCACACCACATTTACAGCCTCGAGCGAATAATCAAAATTAAGCTAGAGGATGTATGGATTTAAGATACGACTATGGTTAGTATGTTGCTGAAACTCGTGACTTCTATTGAATTCCGTGTTTTGGAAGTATTGAGTCTTGGGCTAGGAATTATGGTTTAGTTAGAATGCAGCACTGTAATTTAAATCTAAAATTTTCTGTATTTGGTGCTAACAATGATTTCAAGACTAATAACCTGTTTTTGACGTTTTTATGTGTCTTGAAGCTCTCAAAAAGTCGCATTTTGGCTGTCCTTGGTTGATTATTCTCAAGGCTTTTCTAAATTTTCTTAGAGTCCTTGGCAAATTATAGTTTTCCGCTACACCATTCAGATAGTATAATTAATCTTTAAACATTGTATTGCAGATATTTAAGGTTGTGGTTTTTATCATGAACTGACGTCATTTATAATGCTCAAATGCTATCTAATTATGTGGATGAATGAATTTTGCGTCAAAATCCAAAATTTGTTATCCTAGATCTAGTTGGTTCATCCACAAATCATAATCTTGCCGCCATTCTCTTTGAAGAACAAACGACGAGTGAATGGGACCACTCTCAAAGCCTTTGATCTAAAGGTGTCATCCACAAAACAGTGGGGCAAAGTCAGGGGATTCAGTTTCATAATAGCCGCTAACCAATAATTGGTTCATACACCATTTGTCCCCTCAGGATTCTAAAGCCCGTTTGCACGGTTAGTTTGGAATCAGGGTCTACCAACTTTCCCTGGGTGAATCCTCCATATCTACCTACTCGTTTAAGGTGCCGGACATTCTCGTTTGGTCCTTTCAAGTTTGAGACAACACCCCCACCGCGAGAAGGCAGTGAGTAGGACTTCCCTGTCAGTGGCTGTTTACGCATTATTATGTGAAAGCATTTCGAGATGGAGAGATGACTCTCCCACTCTCGACTGTATTCGGGGGCACTATTAATACAATGTAGGTTTTGCGTGTATCCTGGGTAGTTCATTAACAGCGTACCTTTTTCTTACATGACAATAACTTGTTATTATAATAATGAGTTTCAACACAGTATTTTAAAGAGCGATCTATTTGTATATAGTTTTAGGTATTCTTGTCACACAGATAATTAATTCTAGTTGTCTTGACAGATTGTAACTTCAAACAAGATGGATGTACAATTATCGCTTATGAACTTCAGCGAAAAGTTTTATGGGAAGTTATTGGAAGAAAACAAGAGTAAGATGGTCTTCCATAGTACATTGGTTAGTACGCTTAGACACACTGGAGAATACTTTCCTCTCTCCTTTCAATATCTATACTACCCTCGGAATGGTTCTGTCTGGCAGTGCATTGAACACAAAAGCTGAGATAATGAAAACAATGCAATTATCTGAACGCTTAGAACATGATAAAGTTCATAGCGGAATAAGTGAACTTCTCAATAACTGTTCAAAACGTGGTGGTGTTAACATTATCCTTAGCAGTGGACTTTTCGTTGAACGTGATGTTAGTATCAAGCAGCAATTCGAAATTTATTTGAAGACTTACTATAATGCACTGATAGAACATGTGGGTCTTTATTTTGAATCATTAATTCTCTGTGTAGATGACATTTCAGACGGACATAGAATGTGCTCGTAAACAAATAAACAAGTGGGTTAGTGAACAAACCAACGGAAAGATCCAACAACTCCTCTCACCTGGGTCCCTAAAAGAAGACACACGGGTTGTATTGTTAGCTACTACATATTTCAAAGGTGAATCTATCTGTTTGGCTTACACTACCTATAAATGTCTTTAAAGTCTTAAATCCTTCATTTTATTTGGCGATGATAATTTTCATGTTTGTTAACAATTTTATAACCAGTTTTGCTTTCTAGGTTTATGGAAATCGGCTTTTCCTGTGAGCAACTCTCACGTTGATAAGTTTTCTCGTCTAGACAGGTCAAAAATAGACGTAAGGTTTATGTATATTAATTCCTCATTCGGCATGGTCAGCCTGCCACGTTTGAAGTCACGAGCTATCAAGATACCTTTCAAGAGTCCTAAGTAAGTGCAAGTATTTTGAAACCTTTTAAAAATACTTATTTTTATTTTATTTTAGTGAACAAAGTTTTAGGTTTGTTCACGAGAATCCTCATGTTATTCTTTCAAGTACTGAATTATGAGATTTTACTACTCAAGAAGATGTGCGTCTTTCCAAATCGCTGTAAGTAAGTGAGCTTATGCAGCCATTAGATCTGTAAGACAAAGATGCTGAGAAGTTTCATAGTCATCATGATCGGAAATTCGAAAACGTTTGACAACTATTACAAATGCTTAGTAATTTTCAACTAAATAGTTTACTTCAACGTATAATTTAATTCAATCGTAATTTTGTCTAAACTGCAAATGGAGTAGAAAAATCTCTAGTAAATAATATCGATATTTAAAGTCTCTGACTTAATGTAGAATAGATGGGTTGTGGCTGGCAGTGAAGTCCAGGACGCAATGATCGCCTTGTTTTAGACTATATCATCTAAATCTACCTACATTTTGAACCTGATGTTCGTTATGGGGGCCGAGCTCAGCACCGTATATTTCAAGCACCACCTCATCATCCACTTAGCTACTGAGTCCAGATAATCCACATCATTTCACGGACCGTTAATTTTCGTCATCTGGGAGTTATGGGCTTTGTCGTTGTGATCAACTATTTAGCTGGGAAACTTCAATAATGTACCCTCAAAGTAAATAGGCTTTGTCTCATTTGGCTAGGCGTAATCCCTCTTTGAATTTATAAAACGCTGCTGTATACGCTTTATGTACGATTAAATTTCAGTAAATGTTCTTGTTTTTCCTGTGTACTATTTAAATTTGGATTATTTTTAATTTGGTTATTATTTCTCTGAAGAATTGGCTTACACTGAGTCACGAAACTTCAGAAAATCTAATTTTTCCACTCATTAGGATATTACAAATATATTATTTATTTATAGCAGTCTACCCGATGCTAAATTTATTCGAAATTATCAAGTCAAACCTTGGTAATGATGCCTATAATCTATCTCTAAGTTAATCTTTATATCGATATATCCAATCTTTGCATGCCGAAAATTCTAATAATGCAGAATGGTTACATAAATTGTAAAATTCGAGCCTGCTCCCATATGGTTTTGCTTGCACATAAAAATTTTGAGAATCAATTATTAAAATCTTAAAAATACTATCAGGAAGCATAAGATTTATTTACAAGATCTAATAGGTGAATAGTATCCCAATCAAACAAAGTAATTATTTCAATTTAAGAAGCAACGACGTCTCAAAATGTAAAGTGGATTACTAGGTGTATACACAACTAGCAAAGATGATAGAATAACTAACATTTATCGAAACTCTGTATATTTACGAAGTAATTCTTCTTAAGTAGATCTTCCAGTTAAAACTGACCGATACTAACATGATATAAATTTTGTGCGAAATCAGATAACTGGTTATAATTAAGCCGTGAACACAATCAACTGGCTCTAGCCAAACCTAGAGGTCATCGAGACACTTGGACGCCTATAATTTTTACCTGGTTTTTATATTTGCTGTTACTCAATATTTTGAACAATTACATGTTAGGGTTTTCGTGAAATGTCCTTTTGATGTGTGTCCACGGATCCTTTTTATTTAAAACCAGATGAAAAACAATGGAGAAAATGAAGAACTAAGCAACGCGATTTATGTACTTTTTTCATCAAACAATTCCTTAGCCTCATTATAGACGATTGTATAGTACTAAGTTCGGTGACTATCAATAGTGAAAGCAATCATCTATGCCATTTCTTGAAACCTCACCGCTAACACGAGATTCTTTCCATCCTCTCTATAGTCAGCTTTGCAGTCTTGCTTTCATTAATCTTTAAAAGTGACAGAATATAATATTTCCTCTTAACAGATATCATCTGGTTTTCTTGACAACAATCTGCTGGATACTTTTAAGTAAAATATTTGAGGAACATGTTATCAATTAGTATCATATAAATATTGCACTTCAGAAGTCTTAAGAAAATAATCCGCGGACTGGAGAATTTTCTACATCGCTTAATGAATCAGTCAAACTTTAGCTTTGTAGAATGATCCACACTATTGAAAAGGAGGCCAAAAGTTATATATTATAGAAACCTAAAGAGGTCGATTAGTCTTGGTTAAGGGAGTTAAAATTTGTTTGCGAAGTGACTTTGATCTTTTTGCTAAAATGTCGAATACTAAAATTATTCACTTTTATGTGTAAATATCTATGGTACTAGAAAGACAACGGTGTACAGTTTTAGTTACTTCACGTCATTGTGTAAATAGCTGTAAATGTTTACTTTCTAACATTCTAGTTGAAATCATCGCGACAATAATTTAGATTGAACTATTAATGTGTCATTACAACAAACAACAGACATACATATCTTATACGGTTTGAAAAGACTTACAATATGTTATGCAACAGTTGAAGACAGCTGTTTAACGACTTGATAAAATTTGTTATGATAGCGGAAAAATTGCTACTTATTACAGTGGAACATGATTGATTATATATCTATCCAAAAAGCCGACGAGACTGAAAATGAGGATTCATTAACACCACAAAGTAAACCCACAAAAGATATGTTCACTGATTCAAAAACCATGCCGAAAATATAATGCCATCTATATTTTATTTGTCTGGTCGGCATTAAATTTTCAGCACATCAGTTTCTAAATATGTAGATATTGGATGATTGTTCATTTTGCCCTAATATTCTATCTTGTATTATCTTGTTTTCAACTTATTCTTGTTATAGATTCTCATTATTGGTCGTTCTTCCAAACACAAATGACGGATTACCTGATTTACTGAAATCATTGTGTAAAGACAAAGGAATTTCATCAATTCTTTCTTCTAACTTTACGGATACCAGTATACACTTGTACTTACCGAAGTTCAAACTGAAGGAAGGCAGTGCTATAAGCCTTGTAGACTATCTACAGAAAATGGGAATGAGAGAGGCTTTTTGTCCAGGATCAGCTAACTTTACAAACATGTCTGAATCAAGTAATTTTTGTATAGGAGATATACTTCATAAGGCTATTCTCGAAGTGAGTCGTATAAATTTTGTGTTTCTTAACAAACTTCGTTGTCAGACTGCATTTACCTGTTAAGATTGTGAAATAAAATTGAAGCGCTGGTTGGTTGTAGCCAGTATGGTTGAGATTCGATTTCTGCCTACTTGTTTATACAGCAACTCATACTTGCGAGTAATGTGTCATGTTATTTATTCGGAGCCACACCCTTCAACATATAGAGCCGATTACTAGTTTGATTCGTAGGACTCTATCGAAATATTGAGTCACCCTAACACCACAAAATTGTATCACATGGATGGACTTCATTCAGATAATGTTTCTTGATTTCTCACTCAACCTCTTTGTCATGAAATAACTTTAAATATAATACAATCCATTAACATGTCTACGAAAATCCATGCAACCACTTGAAGGCATGTTATTTTCGATTTCATCGGCCGATTTTCCACAGGCTTTTGTCAGTCTCTTGAAAATACTTCACATATCAGTGTGATACTGATATTTTCGTCACTCACGAAAGACTATTTTATAAAGGAAAGTTTGTTGTTCATTCCAATTCGTTATGGTTACCTTATGGTTATTAGAGCAGTAATCAGGTTTTATTTCTTAGTGATATTTGAGATAGATTTCACCACTCATTGTGATTAGTTTTATTCACAAAAGTGTTTTCATATTAAGTGTTTTCAGTAACTGATGACAGAGTGATTGATTTTGTCTTTAACTGTGGTGAAATTCTATTGAGGAAGTTGCAATGTGACCGCTAGTTTAAGTGGCTTGGCATTGCAGTGCACTGTGATGTGTTGAAAGTGTTTGGAGGTGGTTGTTACGAAACTATTGACCTAGGTTCAGTGATAGTTTGTTACTGTAAGATTGAAACTGGAACGTTGGGGGAACTGTCGCCCTCTGTGAAAATCGAATTCACATCAACCCTTGTCACTTTTGAAGATGTTACCACTGAGCTATTTGTGCTACAACTGATCTCCTGTATGAGCTGAATATTTAAATTGACGGATCAGCGAATTGTAACCAATGTCATGTTGTTTATCTGTTAGAGGTGATGAAGTTTTGTGGACTTAGTTGCAGTATTATCAGTAGTCCAATGAACTTGATATTTCAATAAGCGTTTTTGTGTTCCATGATTGAATGACGCATTAGAGCCGTGAGTTTATTGACTTACGTTATTGACTCTTGATTTCCAATTATGTCACACATATTTCTATTTACCCAGAATCAATCACGACGCACTACGATTTGGAACCACATTGGTTCACAGAGTTTAGTTAACGTTGGAGACAAGGTGACTCAACATAATTAAATCTGAGTTGAGTAATCCCTCTTAAATTGTTCACGTTGATGAATGCTTCAGACAAAATGATAATGAGTAAATCTGTGATTTGATGTAACATGAAATATTGTAATTATTTCCACCGTTTCTTCCACTTAAAAATTGTTAATATAAGTTCTATTGATTTTGGTTCATAGGTGGATGAGCGAGGTGCAGTGGCAGCTGCAGCCACTTCTGCGAAAGTTATTCCTCTTTCTTTATGCATATCTAAAGAACCTGAAGTGGAATTTCGTGTTGATCATCCATTCTTCATTTCAATTATATGGAACAATACTGTGCCAGTATTTCTTGGACATGTAGTAGCTCCAACGGAATAGTAGCCTAAGTAGTATATTCAATAATTAAAAAATATTTTACTAATCAAATCAGTGTTTAAATACTTTCTCAACTTTATCTAATCGTTTATTCGTGATCTTTATACCTTTAATGTTGAACAGTTCTAATGAGCAGTTGCTTATAATTTCATGGACATGATATGTTTTTTTTCAATGACCCCTTTGAATGTTGTCACTTAGAAGCCGTTGATCAAGGTAACTACAAATGTTTTGTTATTTTGTCATACAGAATTTATTAAATTTCATTTTCATTAATTTCTTGTCGATTGTGAAAAATATAAGTCGACTACATTAAGGAATTTCATTTGCTGACTAACTCAACTTTTGAAGATTTATGGATAAACTTTTGAAACATATTTAAATGTGAAGATAAGTGATACTACATAGTTGTTTAAGCACAAGTAGACCTAGTGGCGTTGGAACATGCAACTTTTTAATTGAGACTGGAACACCTCAAGCCACTGAGACACTGATCCATGGAATAAGGATTGGACTGCATCATCTATTATAAGTTCAATTATTTAGTTGATGAAATTTCCGAAGTTGAAGAACTGTGTGTTATTATAGTCGTTAGCAATGTCAACTCAAGATGATAGCCTTGGTTAAGTTCATGATGGAGTCGAGAAAATCCCATGTTGAACAGTTTCAAGTAGCTATTGATAGCTCAATGATCACCATTGTATTTTAACTGATACTTAAGCTGAACATTATCTCAGGCCTTCTCCATCAAAGCTGTTATGTGAATGAGTCGAAACTGTCTGAGAATATTCTCTGTATATGCAAATGAATTGTGAAAATTATTGACTTGATAAGTTTTTGAGCAAACATATTGAATGTTGCATTTTACCAAAAATCTCTGCATTTATTCGACATATCTACAAGTTTAACCTGTTTGATTTGTCAGCTTTTCGCTACATTTAAACCTTTGATCATACTAGAGTGAAACGTCGTACCAGTCTTCAGGATGTCATACACTGTTGAACCACTGTTGTTCAGGTACTGTGAAATAGAATTGGGGAGATGTATGAAAGAGGTAGAGATTGATAGAGCATGTAACAAGTGGACTGTCTAACGTCAGTTCAGTTATTTATATAAATGAATGTAGTATAAAATCCTATTTAAAAACTGAATGAAATTTAACATTTTATTGATGAAATTTCGGAAGTTTAAGAACTTTGTGTTATTATAGTCTTGATACAAAACTGAAAAGTGACAGGATGAGAATTAGACCATAGTTGTCGGCAAAGTTTCTCTTTGGGATCATGAATCGACTGATGTCTGATCACTAATGAAAACCTAGAATCACTGGACGGCCGTTTCATCCTATTACGAGACCCTTCAGCAGTGTGCACCCGCGACCTCTCTCTCTCGCTAACTCTTAACCTCTAAAACCACTGAGTCGTCACCTAACAGTGTTAATGTCTAACCTCAACCAATCCACGAAAAACAGCCATCCAGTGCTTTCAGGTTTTCAATGTTTATCTAACATCAATCGATTCGTGATCTCAATCAAAAGCTTATTAGTCTCCACAACCTCATACTGATAAAGTTTTCCATGTGAAATGTTTAAACAAGATATTCTCATGCATCATTTCACATGAACATTGTACATAATGATATGATGAAAAATCCAAAACAGAAATCTTCACACAATATGAAGTGGCACAATTGAGATTCTATTCTAATCATCATTAAACTAATCGTTTGTTGTATAATCTCTATCGAAATATAATCAAGTGTGATATCAACTTTGTACAAGTTATCATCATCATCATCTGATGTATTTACATGTGTCGTAATTTGCTCAAATGGTATCATCGAAACAATGCAAACTTTTCATTTATTATGTACATGATAAAGCATCATTAGATTTCCTAAAAAAGCTGTTGTTTGTTAAGCACAATACTTGACATGAGTAATTCATTATACATTAAGGAAATATCAATCATTATAATATTAAAGATTGTAACTATATGCTGTAAAGGGGGGATTTCACCAAAAGTAATTACTGCATTACCAATGATAAGCTATTAGTTTTATTATTTTGGAAATGATTGAAAAGTTTATGATTTAGGTAAATTGATTTTGTATTTTGTTACCTTTCAGAGTTTTATGATTTGAGTCTGTCAGATAGTTGATAACTATGGTTATTGTCATGATGTCGCTGTGTGTTGGACCAGTTTGTTTTCTATGTTAGCATGGATTTATTTGAAATTGGCAAGTGAATTTGATTTATATCACGTTACCATGTTGTGATTTGAATTAATTGATCACACGGTAACATTGTTTTGTTGTGTGTGTGCGTGCGTGTGTATTTCAGTTAGGTTACTATGGTTTTCCTAATGCCAGACTAACTTATATTTGCAAACAGTATAGATTAAAGATTGCTGTGAAACATGTAAACCAAAATGTTGGACAATAACAAATTAGGAGTTTGGGGTTTTAAGGACTGTTTAATTTGACTAGAACCATGAATCGATTTGAGTTAGATAACTGTTGGAAATATGGAAGCATATGATGGTCGTTTCATCCTAATCGACGACTTCTCAGCATTACGCCTTCACGACCTCGTACTAGGATGAAACGCCTGTTCAGTAATTTTGTTGGTTGGACTGGCTTATGATTTCGTTATTCACCTTTTCCCATATCGATTTAGATAATGACATGGTGTCAGTGACCTTATCTAGGCGAATAATCTATCACCTCACCATTACCCATGATCAATAAGTTCTATTGAGATGTTGATATAATCTATTGTTAGGCTGCAAGTAAACATGTTTTATTTCCAAAGGTTTGATAGATCAACATACATTCTTATTAGCGACCAATAGTATGATCGTTATCATGTTAGCTGTTAGACATTGCAAACTCAGATTTCTGGGACAGAAAGCTTTATTCATTTTGACATGAAGTACCATTTCTTTATTGTGAAAAACTGTCTAGAAAACCCTACAGAAGAAAACTTAACAAGTACCAATAACCAGTAGACATTGTTCAGATAATATTACTATCTGATTTCAAAAACATTCCCACACAATTTTCATCACTTTATGATCATTTGGTTTTCTCAGAGGTGTTTCATTATCCAAAAATTTGATATACTTGTTTTCCTTCACTCGATATTGTTTATTTGTATCTTTCCATTATTGTTTTAGGACTGAAATTGATCAGCTCCTTTTTGACATATGTACATACTGTTCGTATTGCCTCGACATTGCCTGAAGTCACAAGCTTTATAAGCAAAGATGGATAGTGGCTAGCAGTGGAATCCAGGACGCACGTTGCATCCTGTTTAGGACTTGTCAGCTGGATGTACCTGCATCTCAGAATTGATGTTCACCCTGGGACTCGAACTCAGCACCGTTCATCCAGCTGACGAGTACTAAATACGATTAAACGCAAGTCTTGAACTCCACTGCTACCCACTATTCATCTTTGCCTACAATACTCATTTTTGTTTTTAAAAATACCCAGAAAAATTTCACAGATTTACAAAACGAAACGAATTTTTGCATATTTTTAGTTGTTCTAATCCTAGTTTACATTAATAGATTACTCATCTAATTTTGTGCAGAAACCTTTGGAATCACGTTATTTTCAACACACATAGATTTATAGTAGTTTTGCAGATTGATACAATAAGAACGAAACACCTAATTGGCGTATACAGTATACTATAAGAAAATCAATAGATTGAGACACAGTAACATTGAAATAATAAATGAAGTAATAAATGATTATCGAAATATTTGATGTAGTTCACTTGATATTGTGAACTTGAATCTTCTCATTGATGTTTATGACTCCAATTTGTCGGTCTAAGTGAATAACGCGACGGCATTTGAAGCGAATGGTACTGGTTTGGAGTCCCTAAGTGAACCACCCATTCTGAAATGCAGGTATATCCAGCTGACGAGTGCAAATATAGGACGAAACGCGCATCGTAGATTCCACGACCAGCCACTGCCCATCTTTGCTTAGAATTCTTGTGAATTAAGGCAATATCGAGGCAATACACACAGTATACACATGTGTCAATTAGGGACTGATCAATTGCAGTCCTAAGCATCAATGGGAAGATTCAAGTAAACAACAATACCAATTTAATTTAAACTTCACTCGACTGCAAAAGGAAGTGGCTATGTGGATAACGCGATGGTGTTTGAAGCAGGCGGTACTGTATTCGAGTCCCAGAGTGGACACCGATCCTGTGATACAGGTGCATCCAGCTGACGAGTCCCAAATGGAACGAAAAGCGCATCCCAGATTGCACTGCTAGCCACTATCCATCTTTGCTTATTTTAGGAGGTAGTTGAAGTTGAGAATATGAATTAATTGAACAAAGTGGACTGAAGATAATTTTATCGCGGTGTATTCTAAAGTTTAAAGGTACAACTTAGAACACAGTCGTAGATGTTTGCTATCGTAGTGTGACAAACAAGGATGAAAAACTTATCCTCTATATTCCCCCAAGTGATGTTGTTATATCCCAGTGAAGATTAAATTATGGGTAACTTCCGAGGACTATTAATGGAATAATATTCTATAAATATTCTTATTGTATAATTATTCAATAATTAGATTATGTGTATTAATATTCCTCTTATTATAAGCTTCATTTTGACCTATAATTTATTATTAAACGACCTACTGTCCCTAAATTATGCTCAGTTTATTAACTACTGCCTCCCATGCTCACAGCCACTTTTTGGCTTTATTGTGCACAAATGTTATTTCTTATTTTATGGTGCGTTGCTGTCTGGTTGTTTGATATACAAACACTATGTTTGAAATATATGATTCGCGTAGTGGAAGATGGTATTTGTGTTCTGGACTCAAGTGGACGGGCTAAGCTGACATAGGACCAATAAGGACGCTAGGCTGCTCATATCGGTCGAACTTCATTGGTTTGGCACAATGTTAAGATAGTATAAGTCGTATTTTGATTGGTGGATAAATCACGTGATAAAAAGTCGGACATAAAGTCATAACAGATGTCAACGGGTAATATAAACGAACTAGAGATATTATCTATCGCCAAACAACCCCAGTAACTATTGGATATCATAAAGTTATCAAAGAGGTTTACATCTGACGATTAAGTTTGATCACAGATGCACAAAGTCGAATAAGAGTTATTCCTTTAAATAGCTGCTTATGTGGGATGCTTTCAGTTACATTTAACAATAACTACAATCAGACAGAACTAATTTAACGTCTCGTTGTAGTGTGAAAAGAATTAGGAGTGTACATCAAACATTTTACATAATGTCAAAGTACCTGATTCTTGACTAGTAGGTAGCGGATGTGAATTGCAGCAAGGTAATATTACTAGTTTTTCTAAATAAACAGCATGTAAATTGGCACTGAATAAATTTAATCCAAAAGTGTTTTTATAGTTGAATTCGTGAGTCAAATAAAACTAGACCATCATAGGAAACCTGGAAGCACTGGACGGCCGTTTCGTCCTAGTATGGGACTCCTCAGCGAAGCGCATCCAAAACCCCGCACGTGTGACTCGAACCCAACACCTTTGGTCTCGCACGCAAATGCCTAGCCCGTAAACCACTGATCTGACATCCAATGGTGTTATTGTCTAACTTCAACCAATCCATTATATTGCGCGATCGTTTTCTTCAGTGAGTAATTGCCTCTCAACAGACACAGTTGAAATCCATTGATCACGGCTTCTCAATAGAAGTTCAGAAAATTCATCTTTTCAACGGTGATCTAGACTAAGTCGACTCATTAATTCAAATATTAAAATTACTACAATCTCCACAAAAACTCATTCTGATAATTATATATAATAGTAAAATTACTTACTGATTAATATCCTTCTGTAATATAAAGTACTACTACTTAAGTAGTTAGTATACATTAAAGGATTAAAATGTCACTTCAGCGTTAATTTAATCTAACATAATCCTAAATTCAAATGCTGTTATTTTAAAAGATGTATTTCTCTTAAAATTGAATATCTATTCAGAGTAATTACTTGGATGTAGAACCGTGGAATTTGTGTTCTTCGTTTTCATCTCCTTGTTTTTAATATATTAAGAATTTGTAAACTCAATGTTTATCGATTGACAAAATTCTCCTAAAGTTAAGTTTACTTCTGGAAAAAAATTATTATAAAAATGTTGTTTATAAATGACTTCAAACATCAGACACAGTTTGTATCTTCATCAGATGTAGATGGTGGCTAGTAGTGAAATCCAGGAAGTGCATTTCGTTCTATTTGGAACTCATCGACTGGACGTACCTGCCCCTCAGAGTTGATGTTCACTCATGTTCGAACTCAGTACCGTCCGCTTCAAGTGCTTTCGCGTTATCCACTTAGCTAGTCAGTCCTTATAGCCACTTACTTGTGCAATCGAATGAAGTTTAAATTAAATTGGTATTGTTGTTTACTTGAATCTTCCCATTGATGCTTAGGACTGCAATTGATCAGTCTCTAATTGACACATGTGCATACTATGTGTATTGCCTCGATATTGCCTTCATTGAAAAGAATTCTAAGCAAAGATGGGTATCGGCTAGTCGTGGAATCTACTATGCGCGTTTCGTCTTATCCTTGGACTCGTCAGCTAGATGCACCTGTATCTTAGTGTTGATTATCAGTGTAATATTATACAACAGATTGAGGAAAAGGTACATGAAATTATACTGTTAGCTTATCATATGAATTACTCCTGCTACTATTCAAATATTTTATTCTTTATTTATTCATAAACTGTCACTGTAACAATTTTTAAGCCAAAAAATTCATTCCTTTCATAAAAACTTTATAAGTAACATCAAGTTATGTTGTTATAAAAACTTTTTATAAGTAGTACAGACGTAGAACTAGATAAAATAGATTGATTTTCCCAATGAATTATTAATACTTATTAACTATCATATTCAGTGTTCTAGAGGTTAGGCTCCAGCGTGCGAGACTGCTAGGTCCTGGTTTCGAATCTCACGAGGCGGGATCGTGGATGCACACTGCTGTGGAGTCCCAAAATAGGACAAAACGGCCATCCAGTGTTTCCAGGTTTTCCATAGTGATCTAGCTTCAATTGTCTCATGATGTCAACTATTAAGGTTACTGTAATATCCACAACACCCATTCTCACATTTACCATATTCATTTGGTAAACAGGAACAAACAACAGAATTGAAAATTCAACTATTCATTTTCCCTATTATACATTATGATATCGTGTTTCGGATTGGTTAACTGTCGATTCATCATATCTTCTCGAGTTTTATAGAATTTACTTGATTTTATGCTTGTAATTTCTGAAATATTTCAGTTGAAAATAGTTCCCTATTCAGATGAATTGACACACTTTACTTTAGTTTCTAATCAATAAATAATAATTTTCTAGTATTCCTGGTTGGTTTAGTGTCAGCTTCAGCACCTTACAGAAACCGTTATCACCGAGGATCTTAAAGTATTGACAATGCAATTTCATATGTATAAAGCAATGACACAAAGACATGCTGAATTTAGAGAAGTACTAGAGCTGTGTCCGAAAAATAATGTATTATGTGATTGGGTGAAATAGCTTTTGTTTGGAATATTCACACAAAACTATTTAACTACTTAAATCGATTTAAGCAGTAACGACCGTCTGTTTTAAAAGTTATAATAAGCTTACTGTGACCAACCTTACAAATTTAATTTTAATAACTGAAATCATGGGTCGATTGAAGCTAGATCACCATGGAGAACCTGTAAGCACTGGACGGGAGTTTCTTCCTATGGTGGAACTCCTCAGCAGGGTGCACCCACTATCCTGCCTGGCAAGATCCCAACCTAAGACCTATCAGTCTCGAGCGCGAGTTGACGAGTCCCACAGTAAGACGAAACGGCCGTCCAGTGCTTCCAGATTTTCCATAGTGGTCTAGCTTTAATTGACTCATGATCTCAACTACCGAAATTATTATAATATCCACTAACCCCCTTCTGATTTTAAAATTTTAATTGAAAGGAAAATTGTCACTAGATAGTTTTACAAAATGTCAAAATGGGAATTTTAACCGAAGTAGTTAAGTGATAGGTACATATTAGACTTTATGGGTAAAATTATTAAATCCGAACGAACAATAAATGACTAGCAACTGTTATTGATTATCTATGAACTATTATAACATATATTCCCGTTGGATTACTATTTAGTAACTGAATCATGTATATATTAATATTCCTTTTACCATAAACTTTCGTTTGACCCGTTAGTTACTGTTATGCGATTTAAAATCCTTAATTTATTTCCAATCGATTAGTTACAGTCTCCTATACTCACAGCTTCTGCTAGATTGATCTTGTATAATTATTATTTTTCATTTTATGGTGTGATGAGGTCTGGTCTGCTTGTACATAAGTCAAGTATGTCTGAAATATACGATTCACACAGTGGAGGTTGATATTTTTGTTTTAGACTGAACAGATGGGCTAGGCGAGAAGTTACTATACAGAGGACCAATAAAGATACAGGGTTGACTCAAGGCTCCTATTTCTGTTTGATGAATCATTGTTCGGTACAGGGATAATGTCATATAAGTCGATGTTCTGATGAGCACATTTGTCACATAATAGTTGACTGGCAATAAGACATATCAGAACATTATTGAATGCAAATATTCAAGAGAGCTTTATGAAGTTCGACTGATAAAATGCATTTATATTTTACAATACAATTAGTCAATCAGAGATTTCTATGTGATAAACGCAAGTGACACCGCGCACCACAATAAATACTATACAGGTTCTGTAATTTACTTTCATCAGTGAATTTCTGGAAAATTTGGTGTATCAGAAAGTTGAAATATGATGAAAGGTTGATGTTCAAGAATCTTGGGTTATTTAAACGGTTATTCGATCGAATATGTTACTTGGAAGTTGTGGTCAAGTCTGTTTCCTTCTCATGAAGAATCAGTCAGGTCTAACCTACTGAAGCACTTCTTTCTTTAGGTCATGTCATATCAGAGTGGTCAGTTGGAAACTGGCAATACCAAAAGTAGCTATCTAAGCTGAACACCTCATATCAACGGTACTGGGGTGTTTCCCCTAGACAACTGGCTTTCGGAACTATTCTGACTTCGTACAACTAGAGTAGGATTATGAAAGTCTAATTATAAAAACTATTCACCCCGCTTTGTCCCAAGGATTACATAAGCCGGGATAAGTCTTCCAGAGTGTAGAGCTAACAAATCAAGAACTACTCACAGAAAGACATTGTGTACTTTTCATCAAGCAGTTATCTTTTGAGTTTTGCAGTTATGCTTTCGCTTCGTCAAAATCATATTTGATCTAGATTCAATTTTTTGTTTACTCAAGAAAAAATATTTTTTCATGATCCGATTGATCGAGAATTAACAGCTGCTATTACTCGTGGTCTAGTAATACATAACGTACTGATACCGCCCATAAAATAGTAAATAACAGTTGTACAAGATTCAGCCAAAAGTGGCTGTGAATATAGGAGATAGTAATTCATAGACTGGGCATAACTCAAAAATGGTAAATCATATAATAATAGTTCATAGGTCGAAATAAAGCTTTATTATTTATTTATTCATTTAAACACATAAACGTTGGTACAAGAAGGCACCAAATAGGTATGTGCCACATAAATCATTTGATTTGTATGAGGGTTGGAATGCTTCCCGTGTGTTCATACCGAAGCAGGTAGTTTTCTTAGAGGACCAAACCCGGAGCCTTCGGCGTAAAGGTCTAATCCATATAACAGTGGAACAACGTCAGGAGATACAGTTTCATCATAGCAGGTGAAGAACGATTGGTTCATACGCCATTTGTTCCCTCAAGATTCTGGAGCCCACGTGCACCATTGCTTTGGAATCAGGGTTTTTCAACTACTCTAGGTGGATCCTCCATATTCACCTACCAGGTTTAATAGCCGGACATTCGCTTTTCGTCCTCTCAATTTCTTAAACAACATCCCCGCCGCGAGAAGGCAGTGAGTAGGACTTCCCTGACAGTGGTTGTATGCACGTGGTCATGTGAGAGCATTTGGAGAAAAAGAGCTGTCTCTCCCCACTCTCGCCCATAAAAATTACTGGTCGCCCACCCAACTTCTATCACAGTGATTCATAACACATGTTTACTTTAAATACTCGTAAATACATACGTTCCCTTCATAATAAGGTTGAACTAATCTGTCTCCAGTAAATGTGTGATCGTGCCAGTCAGTGGTATTGTACTTAGAAACAAATCAGCTCCCATCAATTGTCAATATTAATATCTAATACACATTTAAAAACTAGGAACTATTAGAGGATAATATTTTTTTAGTAATTAAAGACTTATAAGCGAAGATGAATAGTTGCTAATAGTGGAATCCAGGACGCGCATTCCTTCCTATTTCGGACTCGTCGATTAGATGTACCTGCATCTTAGTGTTTACGCTTACTTTGGGACTTGAATTCAATACCGTTCGCTGAGATGCGGGTATAGCCAGCTGACGAATCCCAAATTCGACTACTAACCCAT